AGGGTCAACAATTTCTGTGAGTCAAGTGAAAAAAAAAATGCTTTGGGTTAAAAAGTAAACCCTTTAGATAAATTACTGGCTCAGATTTGAGAAAAGTACCTCTGATAACTTTGCCTTCTTTGTCTATTGAGGTCAAAACCAAATACTAAGTTTCCACTGATTATATTGGGTTGCATTAATAGTTTTCATGACTTTTTTTTTTTTCTAAATTCTGATGAATACCAAGAATCCCCAAAGAGACCATGCACAGAAACATTGAAGCAGAGTAATAAGGAACATTTTGAGGACTTGGCAAAAATAGGTCTCTGTAGTGCAGTGTGCAGACTGCATGTTGAAAGAATCTCAATAAGTGAGGAGGCAAAGAATTGTAAGAAGTTGAAGAACAGCTAATTATGGAAATGGTCTTCCGGATCATTGATCAAGTCTATGAAAGTAAGAAAAACAAAAATTCAACTTCTTTTTTTTTAAGAGCTATATGTTTCCTTTATTTTTAAATTAAATTTAATTTTTTATTATTAGTTACTTTTTATTAACTCTGTATCCCAGCTGTATTCTGCTCCCTCATTCCCTCCCAATCCCACCCTCCCTCCCTCATCTCCTTTCTGCCCCTTTTCAAGTCCACTGATTGGGGAGGACCTCCTCCCCTTTCATCTGACCCTGTTTTATTAGGTATCTCTTCAGGACTGGCTGCTAAGTCTTCCTCTGTGGCCTAGCATGATTGCTCCTCCCTTTGGGGGGGTAGAGAGGTCAAAGAGCCTGCCATTGAGTTCCTGTCAGAAATAGTCCCTGTTCCCCTTACTATGGGAAACCAATAGGTTACTGAGCTACCACGGGCTATCTATGGATATAACCTAGAACTTCTGCTCGGATGAGGCCCGTGGTAGTTCAGTAACCAAGTAGTTTTCCAAAGTAAGGAGAACAAGGACTATTTCTAACAGGATCTCAAGGGCAGGCTCTTTGACCTCCCCACTCCCCCCAGGGAAGGAGCAGTCCTGTTAGGCCACAGAGGAGGACTTTGCAGCCAGCCCTGAAGATACCTGATAAAACAGGGTCAGGTGAAAGGGGAGGAGGTCCCCCCTATCAGTAGACTTGGAAAGGGGCAGGGAGGAGACCAATGGAGGGAGTGTGGGGTTGGGGAGGGAATGAGGGAGTGTGATACAGCTGGGACACAGAGTTAACAGAATGTAACTAATAAGAAAAATAAAATTAAAAAAAATAAATACCTTTTAATGTGAAAAAAAACAATAATTTTTTTTATAAAATTAAAAAAGAAGCTTTTGAAATCCAATTCAACCAAAAAAAAAAGTTTTCTGAATTTTCACAACCCTTGGTATTTCCAGGGCAAATCAAGAGTTGAGAAGCACATTAAATTCCTTCATAATAGAAGATAGAGGGAAAAGCGTGCTGAACGCATTTATTTTGGTGCCTCTAGCTTCTATTTGTCATCACTCCTTTAGGAATTTGCATAACAAATGCTCAAGAGGTGGCACAGCCATATCTAATGGGAACAGCAAAATCCAATACAACTGCTTAAGAAAGATCCAGCAAACCCGAGCTGAGTGTTGCTATTGCTGTCATGTGCTCTCCCACTGATTGGCCTTGATTTCCACATGGGGATGCCATTATTATTTGTACATCTTGGGGTTGCTGGGTTGATGGGAATTTTCTTATGAGTCATTTACTCCTTCTCCCAGGAGTACTGCATTGTTAATTGTAAGTGCCAGATATACTGCCCAATCAGGGGTTGGAAGTCTCCTCAGAGTTTTCACATAATTCATATATTCGGAGGATTATGAGGCCCACAAATATAACAAGCAGAGCTATACTCCATAACAAGCATGAAGTCCTCAGGACACACAGTTCTTTGGGCTGTGCCATGCCAAGACACACCCATCATGGTTCTGCTAGCTGATGGGCGGAATTCCATGAATCCTAGAGCTATATTCTGTTGCCCCTGCATGCCACCCGACAACAAGGAATGTCCTGACAATAATATCCCTCCCACTTTTAGGGAGATAGTCTTATCTGACACTCCTTGAAGGTCTTTCTTATGCACAGGAAATTGTGAATCAAATAAAGATACCAGAGTGCTCCTTAGGAGGCTCTGACTCAAAGGTACTCTTGACACATTTGTGCCTGCACTTCCTCTTGAAAAGACAGTCAAAATAATGTAAACTTAAAAGAGTAAACATGAGTCAATGGGCTAGAGAAATTGGGAGCAGATCAAATTAAAAGCCTCTTCCTACTACTGATAGACAAAGAATGGTATGGATAAATGATAAAAGAATAAAGTTTTAAGACTTCCTTTTCTTAGAAAAGGTTTTCTCCTACAAGGCCACTGTAGAGTTGTATGACCAAGGAACAAAAGAATACCAAGATTAGACATATAAATAAATTCTAAGAATATATAAAATATAAACATTGTATTGTAGCAGAAGTTGAATAATAATTGCAGCAGCTTTAGCCTGAAGAATCTTCCTGAGTACTCTGATTATAGAAAATTTATAATACACTGCTTGGGACATGACAATCTGTTGGCTTGGAGATTTTCTATTTGTTTGGTGCCCTTGAAACCACAAGAACTACCAGCCTGAGAATAGGCTGTCATGCTTTGGCAAAATGTGCCCTTGAAATTACAAGACTGTTAAAAGTTGTGTTGTGGGGTTAATGAAGAAAATTATTGTAAAAGATAGCTCTCTTATGTCATCATCTGTCAATGACGACTAAACTTAAGGCCAAGAGGAATATATATGTCTGGGGATAAAAAAAATGAATACATAGTAAATAAGCAAGCACTCTGATTGCCATTCAGAAAAAAAAAAAACTGAAAAATTCTCACTGATCCTCATGACTGACTTATTCATCTATTTCTGTCCTTGTATCTACCCTATTTCAGGCATGTCCTCTCCCAATGCTGGACCCTGTCAAAGAGGAAGTAAAGAAAGATAGGTAAAGGAAGGAATAGGTTTGAGTAGAAGGTTTTCAAGAGGTTAGAGCCATAAACTATACCTCCTGCTTGATGGCTCAGGAGACTTCTTTAAGCTACAGATAAGGACATGGAGGATTCATGGTGGAATTTTCAGATACCTGTGTCCCACAACAAGAAATTAGAGCAGGAATGTATGCATAGTAGTAGACTCATAGACAATTTGTTAAGTCAAATATTAAGTTTATTAAGTCATATTTCAAAGGCCTTTTGCCTGGAGCATTGTGGCCTCTTTGTGACTCATTTAAATATACACATTTTGTTTTTTATGGATTATAAACATACTATACATTTTCCATGTGTTCAGTATTTGTTACATATAGTACATGCTCAAGAGAATTTCCAGTCATTCTTAATCAACTAATACTGTCATATTTGTTTTACATTCCTTTAGAACCTCCCTCTCCATCCTATTTTCTCCTTAAATAGGAATCAAGCAAGATAAGTGGTTTCTCTCACACTTAACTTATCCTTGCAATAAGGAGCTGTTTGAGTATGATTTCAGAGGCAGCAATCAATAGCAAGTAGCATTTACTATGAAACACACAGAGCCAGAGAAGCATATCAAAATCAGGGGAAATAAGTTGACTTACCAAGGACATATCACACATTCTCTAAAGACAGGCTCCCAGCCCTCTAGCAGAAGATATATTTTAAACAAGGGTCTTTGATAACTTACAATAATGTGCAGAAAGTTAGCCAGAAGTTGGGCTATGTTTTCTTGTTTCCAGTGATGACATAATTAATAGGAAGACACAGATGTGAGTAAGCAAAAGTTTATTTAAGAAGTAAAAGCACATGACAAATGAACAAATAGTAAAGCCAGTGAGCTTGCAAGTGAGAACCATGCTAGCAAAGAAAAAGCTGATTTTTAGTGTTTTGGCAAATGTTGATTGAGAGGTATCTCTAAGGTAATGGAGTTTCTTTGTCTCCTCTTTTATTGAAATTCAGTTGTTGAAATCATGAGTCAGGGCAGTGGGACCACTGTTTTTATAGTGCTTAGTGGTATAATCATATTAGTGGAGAATGGTATGTTGGGCATTTGGGTGAGGCCTTACAGAATTTTACATTATTCATGGTTAATGGAATAGTTGGCTTATTGACTTCAGAGCATATAGTGGAAGACTAGGTTATTATTTTTTCTGGTAGGTACTTTGTCTCATTATGTTCTACACAAAGGTACAATAGGATATTGAGATAGCTTGACATTGGCCTTTCCTGTGTATAACTCCCTGACAGTACTATTTCATCAAACTTACTATAAGACAACATAACATTACTAGAAATAAGTATGGAATCATAGAAAATTCATTTTAAAAGTAGGTTGTTTTCTTTTTTAAAATTTATTTATTTTTTATTAATTACTTGATATGAGGCTCAGTTTGATGAAATAGAGTATCCTGAAGATAACACAGACTAAAAAATAGTCTTTCCCATAGAGGACACTAGCAAATAAGCCAAGAGAAATCAGTCAGTGATTTCTGCTATAATTAAAATGGGTCCTAAAGACTATAGCATTAGATGAAAACATGTCCCTTCACATAGTTAAAGGTGAAAGTTACTGTGTATTGGACAAAGAGACACACACATAAATGATATGGCTCCACAACATACCAGTGTCAATCTGAGAATTCGTTGTACATATCTTAAGATGCTATGTTATGGATTCGAGTAAATCTCCAGAATGCACTGGATTTAGGATATTACATTCTCACTGTTATTCATAAAAGTGAACATACTTTACAAACTATGGAGTCCTTTTAACTATGTCAATCGCTTTGATTTCTTCTATATAAGAACCAGAAGAAATGAACTATCAGGTACATACAATTATTCACCCCCAAGTCTCCAAAGATGAAAATCTTTTTTTTTTTAGTTTATAACCTCTTTTTTGTTTTTAAATATTTTTATTTATTACAATTTATTCACTTTGTATCCCAGCTATAAAGATTTAAGTCTTAAAATGTCCCTCTAACCTACGATGTACCATACAATTCTCTAATGCTTTGGAGTATTAAATGAGTAAACATCTCAAGCAAAGATTTTGTTGCAACCTCCTCAGAGCACTTTTGACATCAGTGTTTCTCAAGCTGTATATCAGAGGATTAAGTGCTGGAGGCAACAAAGTATAAAGCACAGAAGAGAGCTTGTCAGAAATTGATGGGTTATTTGAGAATGGCTTCAGATAGACAAAGCAAGCAGTAACAATAAAGACAGTGAAGACAGTGAGGTGGGGGACACAGGTGGCAAATGCTTTGGACTGACCTTTAGTAGTAGGAATCTTTAGTACCGTGGAGAAAATGTAAAAGTAAGAGATCACAACACAGATGAAACAAGACACACCCACACAAACACCAATTCCCAGACTTGTGTAAATAACCACAAATGTTTCAGAGCAGGAAATTCTTAGCAATGAAGGAACATTACAGAAAAACTGTGGGATGACATTGGAGCCACAAAAAGGCATGAAAAATGTGCCAGATGTATATATGGCTCCAAAGAGTACTCCAGAGGCCCAAGACATGCTCACCATCAGCACACAGATAGGATTACTCATCATGGTCTCATAGTGCAGGGGACAGCAGATGGCAACATAGCGGTCATAGGACATAGCTGTCAGGACAAACACTTCTCCTGCTGAGAAAGAAGTCATTAAAAACACCTGGAAGGCACAAGCCAGAACGGAAATAGAACTGTTGTGAGTTAGGCTGTTGACAAAGAAATTTGGGATCGGGACAGAAACAAAAAAGACATCCAACAGGGAGAGATGCTTCAGGAAGAAGTACATGGGTGTTTGAAGCTTCAAGTCGAGGGTGATGAGAGTGATGATGATGAGGTTACTCACTAGAGTTTCCATGTACATCATCAAGAAGAACACTCCACATAAAGTCTGTAGCTCCGGTGTGTCAGAGAACCCCATCAGGATGAATCTAGTTACTGCAGTAACGTTTGTCATACTATATACTTTCCAGGTCCGGTCAGGTTAAAAACAAACAAACAAAAAAACAGAACAAAAAAACAAAACATGAGTTTTAAAAACGACATCATTCCAAATTATTACACTGATGTGAAGATGTGGTCAGTAGAATGGGAGTCAAGAGACTACCTAAGGTAATTTACCCTTGCATAAAATTCTCATTTTTTTTCTCCCATGCTCTCATACACTTGCCCTCTACCATTTCTGTGTACATTTTCTTTATGTATTTCTCTCCCTCTTTCTTTCTCCTCCTCTCTCATTTATTCATTTCTGACACTTTCTCCCTCCCCCCCCGACTCTGTGAGTGTGTGTGTGGTGGTGGTGGTGGTGGTGGTGGTGGTGTGTGTGTGTGTGTGTGTGTGTGTGTGTGTGTGTGTGTGTTAGCAAGTGAGTGCACTCATATTATCTGGACTAAATAATAAAAAATAAAATAGAGATTATGGGGGTATTTTCTTTTCCACTAATAGAGGTAAGGATAAACATATAAAATATTCTAATATATGACAAAAATCTTCAGATGATATGTTTTATGACAATAAAATATGCCCTTGGCTACATGAGTTTAAGGATTTTTCCACCAAAATTTATAGTTCAAATGTAAATAGCAAACATCTGTAGAGATGATATTTCAGAAAGCACAACTCTAGTTTAACAGAAGGATGAATCCTATTTCGAATATTTACAGAAAAGTTGTCTGTAGGCACAGAAAAAAAAATATGTGTTATGGAGCTTAAATTTAGCACATTTGCCAAGGTATTATAACCCTCAGACTGGGGAAATACAGAAAAAAAGAAGGCAAACAGGAGAAATAAAGGTAAATAAATCACTGCTAAATTACATCGATTTTAATAACTTGTCCAGTTTTGTCTATATCTTTAATATTTAAAATTATTTTAGACAGTGCATTTTAACATTTTACCAGTGGAAATTTGAAATTTGTACCTTAGAACAATTAAGATTCTTCACTCTCCTAGAAAAGCATTACTTTTCAGATATATGTAGGCAGATTTTCTTTCAGGTCAACTTGAGGAAGGAGAAGTTTTTTACATCCATTCAAATTTAAGTTAGCAGTGGATCACCTGAAATGAACAGAGAACATGTACCTGTCTTTGAAAACTCTAAAATGATAGCATATGTTTGCATTTTTAGTATGTAAGAAAATTCAAAGTTCTGAGATAAACTGTAGTCATTTCTTAGCATGAGAATGCACATAAAAATATTTTAACTTTGTGTTAACTCTGATGTGAATTAGTCTGAAATATCATATAATCTAAGTGTCTCTAATAGATCTTTTTAAGTCAATTGGCTACTCCCTGGGAATTCCCAAAGGTGAATCTTTCTGGATAGCCTTATTAAAATCTATGTCTTAAGATAATTAGTGTTTTAGTGGCTGGCTCTTTGATCACCTCCCCCTGGGGGCAGCAGCCTTGCCAGTCCCCAGAGGAAGACAATGCAGCCAGTCCTCATGAGATCTGATAAGCTAGGGTCAGATTGAAGGGGAGGAGGACCTCCCCTATCAACAGACTAGGAGAAGGACATAGGAGAAGAAGAGGTAGGAGAGATGGGACTGGGAGGAGACAAAGGAGGAGGCCATAGCTGGGATAAAAGGTGAATAAATTGTAATAATAAATAAATAGATAATAATAGATAAATAGTTAGTTAGATAGATAGATAGATAGATAGATAGATAGATAGATTGATTGATAAAGGAGAAAAAGGCAAAAATAGTTTCGTAATAATTTGTATTTTTATAAAATACCTACTTAGTCCCTAGAAAATACATTGGGATAGATCATGAAGAACATACTCATATTTTCCCCAAAATTAATATAATAATGTATTTTTTGTCTTTTTTTATAATTTTTATTTTTTTATATTAATTGCAGGTCATTTACTTTGTATTCTAGCTGTAGCTCCCTCTCTCATTCCCTCCCAATTCTATCCTCCCTCTCTCATTTCCTCCCTGCTCCTTTCCAAGTCCACTGATAGGGGAGGTCCACCTCCTCTTCCATCCAACCCTAGCTTATCAGGTCTCTTCAGGACTGGCTTCGATGTCCTCCTCTGTGGACTAGCAAGGCTGTTCCTCCCTAGGGGAGGAGGGGAGGTCAAAGAGCCATCCATTGAGTTCATGTCAGAAATAGTCCCTGTTCCCCTACTAAGGAACCCACTTGGATACTGAGCTACCATGGGCTACATCCAAGCAGGGGTTCTAGGTTATATCTGTACATGGTCCTTGGTTGGAAAAACAGTCTCATAAAAGACCCCTGCGCCTAGATATATTTGGTCCTTGTGGAGTTCCTGCCCCTCCAGGTTATATTAACTCCCTCTTCCTTCACATGATTCCCTGTACTCTGCCCAAGGTTTGGTTATGAGTCTCAGCGTCTGCATTGCTTTCTTGGTTATACAATGCACAGTATGAGAGATACACCAAAGTTTTAAGCAAATGTTATACAACACAAAAGTTGAAACATTTATTAAAAACTCCTGCCATACCACCTGTACCAATTACTTTTCTCAAGTTTTTGACATAATTTATGGGAAAAAAGAATACATGTGAAAAGAAGGACTGACTTTAGTCCATGGTCTGAAGGTAAAGTCTGTCATAGCAAAGAATCCATAGTTGCAGGATCATGAAAGAATTGTTCACAGCATACCTGCTGTCAGAAAGCAGAAAAAGAAAAAACTATACCACTCTAATGGCATTCTTCCCATCTTCCCCTTTTCTACACAGGATGAAAATTCAGAAAATAGAGCCATCATATCATCATGCCATCACACCAGCGTACATCCTCCTACCAAGGTCAAGCCTTACTGGAAATTTCCTTGTAGACCCTTTGATTTTTATTCTTAGATGATTCTAAATCTCATCAACTTGACAATAAACATTACCAGTCTCAGCTCTATGTCCTGTCATCTTGATGCTCTAGTTGATGCATCACGTTTAAAGCATAGAATTTACACTGTGGTTTTTAAAGTCTCACATTGATTTCATAATGCTAAATCTGTTTATTACACCTCTAAGTATCCCTAAAATCTGAACAATTATAACATTGTTTGAATATATGTGGCCCGGGGTCCTGTAAGAATGACTAAGTGGTTAAGAGCTGATTTTGATCTTGCTTAGGAAGCCATTTTGGTCCCCAAAATCTGCATCACATGTCCACAACTATACATAACAATAGCTACAGTAGTCTGTTCTTGCTCCTGATGGTATCCTCATTCACATATACAATCAACACACTTATATTCTTGTATATTCACATATATAAGACAACAGATATAGTTTTAAATTAAGTAAATATTCATAAGAGCATGGTACTATTTATCTGGAAACCCAGAGTAATTGATGTCTGGTTTTGAAAATTCAAATTATATCCTTCATGTATTCAATGACATGAACAAAATGTTGTCATTATAAAAAGGGAATAATGAGGTAAAATAAGGGAGGATCAAGTCAATAGAAGAGGGAAACCTAGCATGTAACTCTGCATAAGTTTTCCTTTGTATCTGGAGTTTGAGGTATCTGATAGAATTATCTGCTCTTCAATTCACTTGAGTGTCTTACTCATCCAGTTTTTAAATCCACAGCTCATGTGGCTTCTCAGTGAGCTGATTCTACAAGATACCAGCAGCTTGCCTTAATAGACACCCCATAATCTTGGTATTGCCAGCATTCTGATGTTTCCTTACATTCCAGATTTCACTTGCTCAGATCCTTCTCAAATTTTGCTAGTAGGAACTCTATATGAGCCTGGAAAACATTGTTTGGACTCTGTAACTGCCTGGAACCTTTGTTTAAGTATCCATGCATCTTTCATTTGTCCATATTTCATTCTAAAGACTAGCATCATATTTATAGCACTGGTGAGCTCTACTGGTGAGTCAACTCACATGTAACCTGGACACTGTCCTATAGTTTCAGTGGCCTTTGTATTCCTTTGATGCTGGCCCTGGGGAAATAGTTCCCTAAGTGAGAGTTTTGCAACAAAGAACCAAAACATATTTGATTGGGGATTTCTTCTTTCAAGACATTTATACTTTAACAAGTTGATAGTTGGGGTTTTACTTTAAATGACCTTTCTATTTTTCCATGTGTGAAATGATGTTTTGTGATTAATGACACTATTAAAGATTTTTGTCTACTTTGTCATGGTCTACCACTTTAAATTTTCTTAGACTACTTCCTCCCTTAGGTATGTTTTTCTTACCTTTCAGAAATTTCTCACCATAGACATGACTAAAAGCACTGAGTAGTAACCATACCACTCCCTGAAGCGTATGCTTTCTTAAAGGCCCTATGTGAAAAAACAGAGTCTAACTAATACTTACAAATTCAGTCTTACACAACATTTCAGGATATGGACAGACTGTATACAGGTTTGTTGTCAGAATACAACATAAATGTTTTCAATCCAGTTTACAACACGAATAAAGGCCTTGTTTGCTTTATGAAGCCTCAGGAGCCAAATCTTCAATGTTTTCATTTCTCTAGGAATTCTGTCCTTTGAAGAGTTTATCAATGGATTGGTAGGATTAACATGGTGAAGAGTCTATCAAAATGTTCCACCAGTCTCTGCATTCATAAGCTACATTAAACTACAACTCTAAATTCTCCCTCTTTATTCTTATAAATAATTTCTCAAATATTAAGAAACAGAGACTAGTAAGAGCTGGAGGGGATGGGAACTCCACAAGGAGAGCAACAGAACAAGATAATTTGAACACAGGGAACTTCCCAGAGACTCATGCTCCAACCAAGGACTATTCGTGGAGATGACCTCGAATCCCTGCACAGGTGTAGCCCATGGCAGTTCAGTGTCCAAGTGGGTTACATAGTAATGGGAAGAGGGACTGCCTCTGACATAATCTGATTGGCCTGCTCATTGATCACTTCCCCCTCAGGGGGGAGCAGCCTTATCAGGCCACAGTAGAGGACAATGCAGCCACTTTTGATGAGAACTGATAGACTTAAGATCAGA